GGGGGAGGGGGGGGGGGGGGCAGCGGCCGCGGTGGAACGCGGGGAGGGGGATCAAATGTCCGCTCGGAGCCTGCCCGCGCTGCCGGCAGCGGGCTCACTGTGTCCGGCTCCGTGGGCAGGGTGGGCGGGGGAGGGACGATGATGCCTTTGCTGCTGAAGTGCTCTCGGATCAAGTCTCTGCTCTCTCCCCCGACCCCCAGCACAACTGCATCTAAAACGGCGCTTTGGAAAGGGGGGATTGGGGGTATCTCTGCCCAGACCCCAACTCCTGCTCTGCTAGAAACCGCTCTTCCAATATGATTCACTGGACTTTGCTCAACTTTACAGCAAACTGTAGGCTTTATAAAGTCCCGCTAACTCTTCACGCACACCCCCGGTTTTTTTCCCCCTCACTGTTGCCAGCCAGTCTTGCCTGTGTTGACACCCAGACGAGCTCCTGACAGTCACTTTTCAGACTCAGATGTCCGTCTCACACGTGGTAGCTTTAACTACTGCCTCGGTTTTCACGCTGCAGCCTATTTTTGGAGAGCAGGGCAGCGCAAATGAATATTCCTGATGAAGGTAGCTTTCATCGAGTTCTTTACAAAATCTATTCCCCCTTCCTCCCTCCCACCCCCTAGATACACACGCACCATACCGAGGTTTGCATTTTTCATGGCGGGACAGGCAAGTCTATAAAAGGCATGTTTGTTTTTCCTGGCTGTTTCAAATATGTATTTCCTGGAGGACTTCGCATCTAATGGGGTCATCAGAAGCACATGTGCGATTTTCATCTTTCCAAGTGATTTCTCCTTTCCCCTTCTCCCGAGCAGCACCGTTTGCTGGTGTAACATTTTACCTCTCTGTTCACCTTAGCTCCCACTAAACCTCTCCGTTTCCCTCTGAGTCCCAGACGCTTGGCGAAGTCCTAATTTGTTTCCGTCTGTCTGTCTACCTTTTTTTTTTTCTTTCTTTCTTCTTTTTTCCTGTAGGACACGGGTTGGTCTGGAGGCATTGCTGTGCCGCCCAGCAAGCCCGGCCGGCAGCCGCCGCCTCCCGGTGCCCCGGGGCGCGGAGCGGGTCCGGCTCTGCGGCACACCGGGACTCCGGTTAAAGGCGAATTTGATATTTAGAGCTGGAGGTTGAGCGTTCTCGCCCAGCAGCAAAAAAATCACAAACAACAACCAAACAATCCCCCCTCCCGTTGATTTAAGTGGCAAGGAGATGGACCTTCTTCCGAGCAAGGAGCCGCCTCCCCGGTGCGGGGAGGGGAAGCTTTGAGCCCCGCTCCCCGCCGCAAAATGTGAAGAAGCTGATGGCTCAGCCCAGCTCCTAAGTTTAGGTATGTATTTTTCCAAACCCCAGAGCTAATCTCCTTCAGACAAAACCCTCACCTTTTCCTTGTGTGCTGAAGCACTGAAAGTTCCCTTCAGTATATTTTTCTTGGCTGTCTGAGCCGCAGCGTTTTGATTCACTAAGCAGAGGAAGTTAAAGAGCTCTGCAGTAAGGGCCAGTGGCCAGTGTTTTCATCGCCATGCCCTTAAATTATTTGTCATGCTCAAGCGAGGGTTTCTTCAAGGCAAGAGCCTGCTCATACCGGGCTGCATTTGTTTCTCCTAAAGAAGGCAATAGATTTTGTTTCCGGGTCTGGTAACAGGAGCCCGAGTGCCTTACACAAACATCGCTGGGCAGGCAGGGGCACTTCCAAGGCTTTTCATTCCGGGGCTGGAGCAGCCTCCCCTCAAACACACATTGAGGCTTCAGTTAGGCCGAAACTGCTGAGCCAGGGTTGGGGAGAAGAGGGAACATAGCTTTCTCCGGGGTAGCCCACAAGAAATACGCCAAGCAGGCGACTTCTTTCGCGTAGATCATGTAGAATGTCTGCAAAATGGCTTATATTATTATCCAAAGGAAAACGCAGCCACACCGCCTTGTAGATGAGATGCGACTGTGTTTCCAGAGGGTCCTGTTTACCCCCAAGCTCCTGCAAGGGCTTGCAGAGGGAAGGCGTTTAACCAGCAAGCTCTGGCATACGCTCCCCTACTCAAAGGGAAGGCTCTCATTCCAATGAACTTGCTCCCTGTTCCCCTTCGGGGACTGTGCCACATCTTCAGTAGCCTGTCGGGATGCTCTCCCCTCGCGTCCATCAGTATTGCCCTGCAGGGCGACAAGCTGCGCCCTGGCAGGACAGCCAAAATTGTTTTCTGTCTCAAATGTGCAATTTCGCTCATAACCCTCTTCAGCGCAGCACCAGGACAGTTAACACTCATATAATAAAGTACAGGGCTTCCCAGCAGAACAAATCTGCTCTAGTACACGGTGAATATTCAGTGCCCGGCTATCTAAAGGAATTACTCCAGTTACAGTTCTGGGGTCCGTAAACGCTGCATTCATTGTGTAATTTGGTAAGGTTTTAGTTTGAGGGCAAATGCCACTTTTATATATATATGTGCATGCGTATGTATATATGTGTGTGTGCGTATACGAGAGAGACAGCGAGCGCGGTTTTTCTCCTGGGTGTCCAAGCTATAGGGGCTCAACTGTGGGGTTTGGCCGCTGCATCCCGGCCTCAGTCCGCGGATAGCCGGGGGAGTTTCATGGGTAAAGCATGCCGGGTCCGGACCGTCTTTTTATTTATGCCCCGAAACCTGCGCGGGTACCGCGCAACCAGCCAACCCTGGGATGAGATATGCCGCATGTAACGCAATGCTAGTGAATCATAACTAATCTGTTTAAAACCGAGGATTAGTCACGTCAGTTTCGGCATATTCCTCTATCGGGAACTTTTTTTGTGCGTGGAAAATCGGGGGGATTTGGGCTAATTTACCAAACATCATTACTAAGGCAAGTACGGTCCGATAAAATGAGTCTTAACATGTACGGGTTTTCAGGTTGCATTACACACGTCCCATCATCTGGGCTTTAAGCTGTGTGCGCCCTTAATGCTAGATTGACCTGCAGGTTTTTTTTTTCCCTTACTGCATGATTTCTGTTTCTAGCTGTCTTTAATTGACTTCAGTGACTCGCCCTCTCTTCCTCTCTCCGTATATAAGTGATCCTCGCTGCAATTTACAGGAGTTTTCATCGCCCCTCTCTTTCAAAGGGCCTTTCTCACCCTGTCAGCCCTTCATTTACTTTCCCCGATCGAATTCTGCCTCCTCTGTGCAATATGACCTTTTATTAACCACGTAAACCCTATCCTGTTTTCATACTGCCTCTTTAAATGTTCCCCATCTTGGCTTTACTCTTTCTCTAATATTTTTTTTTTCCTTTCTTTTTTTTCCCCTCCAGCAGGCAAAGCCTTAAGGCTTTATTTCGGTTTCGAGGCCATGTTTTATTAACCCAGTCGTTCTGTTTTCCTTCTCAAACTTACTTCTATCTTTAAAAATAAAAAATAGCCAATTAATTCATTCTTTGCAATATTGCACCGCTGCATGTGTTATTTTACAGGGAGCGGGGATCTTCTGTAGCCCTAGGAAGCAGTGGTTCCTCTACTTGCGAAATGTTTATTTTCAAAGGATTAAAATTCATAGCTAAAATTATTAGATGCCCCTCAACGGAAATAACAGGATCTGCTATTTAGACCCTTAATGCACGCAGGACCACACTGGTACGCTCCCGCAGCCGAGGCAACAGCCACATCATCTCCGCTGCTGAAAAATCACCCCAAAGAGCAGGAACAGGAGGAACATAAACCTGAATATACCACATTGTCTCCTCTATAACATTGTACCCCGCTGCACCCCAGCGTAATGGGAACACTAGATTTATAACCACGAGTAAGAGAGAGCTTTCTTCCGAGGCCGATCCTCCCCGTTACCGACATCCATACCTTCCCTTCTATAGACTTTAACGGGGCCTCGGAGAAATATGCTTTTAGCGGACACCCACAAACCCACAGAGGCGCTAATCCAGCCCCAGATTATATCAAATTAGGACACTGCCCGCACAAAACTCCCGCTGATTGAAATTTCAGCCAGCGTCTGAGACCTGGACACGATCTTTGCTGATCTACACATATTTCTATCCCGCTTGAAGCCATATCGTTTTCTCGGTTTATTTTTCACAAGAAATTCATTTTAGGGGAAAAAAAAAAACCCAAAACACCCTTGCAAGCTCTGAGGAACATTTTAAACAGATGATGTATCGCATTCGGCTTCTAGCAAGGAGTTGGTAGCGAGGGTGCAAGCTGTAATGAAATCACCCTGAGCTCTTATCTTTTAATGAAGCAAACTTGCAAGCAACTTGCCTGTCTCTTTTGCCACCCTGTGCTTACAGAAAAGGAAAAAAAAA